AACACATCCTTGCTATCCATAACCAGGAAAAAATAATGTAGGACTAAAAGCCATGTGTATAGATTTAGAAACTGTAAAACCCAACAGAGCCTGCAGAAACAAGTAAGCTTGTTTCAGCATTGCCATGTTTCCTGGCCACACTTTGTGTTGCAGCAGCAGCAGCAGCAGCAGCAAACATCCTGCATTTGCAAAACTCATTCTCTGTGCGAGAGTTGCCTTGTGCTTGAAGAGGGGTATAAGCACAACAGTTTGACCATATCATGCACATCAACAGGGGAGTGTTTTTGGTAGAATATAGTTTTCACTTAGATGGATTTTAATGGGACACTATGAATTAAAGTCACTTCTCATTGAAGCAGTTTCAGTACCTGGAGTCCCCTGGCACCAACCCTTCTCTGTTTAGTGTTTAAAAAAATAAAAATAAAATAAAGTTTTTACATTTAAAGGTTTAATGCTGGTAATATTTAGTTTGCTGGATGCTTATATACTACCAAAGTTGTATTGATTGAGATAAACTTAAAAGGGACACTATAGTCACCAGAATAACTAGAGCTTAATGTAGTTGTTCTGGTGAGTATAATAGCTCCCTTAAGGCATTTTCATGCAAACACTGCCTTTTCAGAGAAAAAGGTAGTGTTTACATTGCCCCTTGGGATACCTCCAAGTGGCCACTGGAGGGGCTTCCTGGCTCAGGGCTGCATAATGTGCAGCCCTGCCGTTCAGCGTCCCCACGCTCTGCATGGAGACGCTAAATATTCCTCATAGAGATGCGTTGGAAAGCATTGGATTGGCTGAAAATCGCCCATTTAGATGATGTCACAAAAGGGGAAGAGCCAGTGCCAGCGAACCTGCGTGGCACTGGAAATAAGGCAATTTTATACTTTCATAGGATGGCTAAGAGGGGGCAAGCCACCTAAATTGTTGGTTTTGCACTATAGGGTCTGGAACACAAAAACACAGTGTCATGCCAAAAGCATGAGTTGGTGTTTGATGTGTGTTGAGATATGTTGAAAGTTGTTTTTTTGTAAACCTTGGGATGACCATAAAACATCTAGATAGCCATCACCAGAGCTGGACACAAGGAATTGCATAGAGTGGTCAATAAACTGCCAGACCAACCCCTTCCTCCCCCCCCCCCAGGGGTCTGCCCACTGAGAAACAACTAAGTTTGATATATAACGAGGGTGCCGGACTATCCAGTTAGTTATTCATTTTTCTTTTGTCAGTAACTTCTAGGAGATCTATACCATCTAAGACTCCCACAAGAATTCTATATGGGGTAAATATATGTAAGGAATTTCTTGTGTTTTCTCCTATTTTATGTACTGTTTTGCAATTTGTTATCTGTATGTCATTTATTTCTGTATTTTGTACTTTTTGTCAGATTAAATGTTTACTTAATCAGCTTGTGTCTCTGTTCTCTATGAGCTTCACTCTCCAGAGGAAAGCTCAGGTAAACACGTTACCAAAAAGGGTTAACGATATATGTTTTAGCAGTAAAAGTAGAACTGTGATACTATAATTCTCCTGTGTGTGGGGTAACCTAAGACGCCCGGGTTTAAAAGTCTTGGTGGTGGCAGTAAAGTGTGTACTAAGGGGGTTAGTGTAGAAGGGATTGCAGGGGTTAATTGAGTGGTTGCTGGGACTAGCAACAGGTAACCAGGGGTCTGGTGTCATTAACCCTGTCACTTCCACACTCTCCCCACTGTCTCGGCTGGGCCTATAGCCCACGCACGTGACACACAGTGATCCTTTAATTTCTAAGTTTTATTTTCTAATATTGTCAACTCTTTTGGTCAATTATGCTGTTAGAATACTAGTGACCAATGACGTGTGGATAAATTAAAACCCATTTTATATTACATGATGCTGAATTTAACGGAAGGTGTGTAGGTGTAAATCGTTTAAATTGTAGAAACAGTGGAAGAAGTGTGTATATGTTTGTACATGTGTCATTAAAAAATTAGTACAACGTCGAATAGGAATTAGAGGGTTATTTTTACTTTAGTAGGTAGTGCAGATGGTAAATATACATTTGGGGGTGGGTCTGCACACATGCTTCCATAGCAGGAACCTCTTGCACTATTAGAGATTAAATGAACACAGCTTTCTGAGGTGGGTATGTTGCCTAAAGTGTTTTGCCGAGGTTCCCTGGTTTAAGACAAACCACGTTTTGACAAAAAACAGCAGTTTCCCCTAGCCCAGTGATCATCCCTCTCCAGCCACACTGATAATGCAGAATTTAACCTTCTGCATTATCTCTAGAAGGCAAGCTTGTTTGAGCAGGGCCCTCAACACCCTCTGTTCCTGTGTGTCCAACTCGTTTTGTTACAAATACTCTGTACAGTGCTGCAGAATGTGTTTGTGCTTTATAAATAATAATATTAATAAGCAATGTCAATTTTGTCCAACCTGCTTAACCCAGTACCTTCTGCCTATCAGTGGCTGACATGTTTGACATACAAATAAAATACATTTTTAAAAACACGCACACACCTACATTTTTCATACAAATATACAGAACCTTAATGGAGCTTTCATTAACTCATGCATTAGCTTGTCAATTTAAAAAACAAAACAAAAAAAAAAACAAAGCATGCAGCAGCAAGTCCATGCACCAAACAGTTTTCTGCAGATGATATAATGGCAAATAATCATTAAAGTACATGTCATGAAAAATTGCTAGAGGTGAAAAAGGAGGTAAAGTTATGAGCTATACACACCTTTACATAACCTTTAAAAAATGGGTGTGTACTCAAAATATTTGGATTATTGGGTTTACTCTCAGCAGTGAATTGTGGGGAGCTGCAACAATTCTGCTTAATTCACCAAAATGCACAGTAAAGATCAATATGCTTGTCCGCTAAGAAATTATCCTCAAAATGTTCAAGCCTCGCACAATTATAACTCCTTTTGTGGTGGCAGTGTAATGTTTAAAGGGGCAGTAGCACTAAAACAACTAGATCTTAAAACAGTTTTACTTTCTTTTCTCTGGCTGTGTTATAAATTGTAATTTCTGAAAAAAACTGAAATGTTTACATTTACCAAAGATCACGCACTTAGACTAGAGAGTCTAGTGGCTGTCAGATTGTATAGAGGTACTAGTGGGGAGGGGGGTTGGATGATTGCACTACTAGAGCCATGTAGGTTGGTATCTCCTTGGCACTCCAATGGTAAAGATGTAACAAAAGACTGCTCCCAGCATTACTTTAATCTAATTAAACCATGCAACACATTGCCTTGTATAGTCCTGGTTAATAATTTATGTATAGCAACCCTACTAGATTATTATTGTTGTTTTTATTCCCCTTGCCCACTGCAGAGTTAATACAGAATCCTATGATTTTATGGGTCCCCATGTCAGAAATGGTGAGGGAAAATGGGCTGCCAAATATCAACACCATTTCAATACAAATTTAACCACCAAAATGTCAATCATACACTTACCTGGTATAATTCCTAACAAAGTCAGAGGAAGACATTATGTGTCTGTTACTAAGTCACAGAATACCACCAGCTTGCTTTTATTGTTTTGATATGGACAGACTTATTGTACACTTTATTTCCCATAACACCACATCACTATAATCCTATATCCAGGTATGCCATACACGACAGATAACCAAGCTGTTGCAGAACTTCCACTCCCACCATGTTGGGCCAGCCTTTCTTGTGGTTCTCACAAAGCAGGGAGGGGGGAATCAACCTTTTGGCAAACCCTGTCCCATCCACACAATAGTTATTTCCTCCCCCTATCCCCCCTGTGAGCCAGGCCCATCCCAGCAAGCTGTCAGCACTCAGGAATGCCAATTATTGAACTGGAACTACAAATCCCATAATGCACTGGGAGACTCACCACCCTGACCCACACACACAGCTGGTGTAGCCAGGACTTGACATAGACCAGTGTGGGCCAACAGCAAACCGTGAGCTTCCCAGCAACTGGGCTGGATGAGCATTAGGGTGTTTGTAGCCCCTGGCCAGCTATTATGGGGGGGGTTTGTAGCCCTGGCCAGCTATTATGGGGGTTTGTAGCCCTGGCCAGCTATTATGGGGGGTTTGTAGCCCTGACCAGCTATTTGTTAGCCCTGGCCAGTTATTATGGGGTTTGTAGCCCTGACCAGCTATTATGGGGGTTTGGCAGCCCTGGCCAGCTATTATGGGGGTTGGGCCAGCTATTATAGGGGTTTGGCCTGGCCAGCTATATAGGGGGTTTGTAGCCCTGGCCAGCTATTATAGGGGGTTTGTAGCCCTGGCCAGCTATTATGGGGGGGGTGGGTTTTGTAGCACTGGCTAGTTGGGGTGTCACAGACTGGCAGTCTCTGTGCTCCAATAGCCAGCCCGGGCTATACAGAGTTAGGGCTGGACTATGGACTGCCCTCATACTTCTCACACAGAGTCTGTAAGAAGGCGATCAGAGTCTTACCTCCTCCGCTGGAAGGCCGTGCACCTCCTGCGAGGCCGCCATATGCCGCTGCCGGGGTGCTGTGAGGGGAATGGGGGGGGGATGACGCGTTACAAGTAGTTCCCCTGCCTGACACTGCGAGGGAGCGCGCGCGGCCCGGAACCACACACGCACACAGTGTCACGCGCCAGGAGAGGGGGCGAGCGGGTGCGCGCGTTCACACGCACTGAAATCCGTTGCCGTTGAGTCAATGTCCTCTCAGTGTGGGGAGGGGCGGCCGCCGCGGGAGCGCGCACTAAGCCTTGTGTCTGCATCCCTGCGCGGGCTGGGCAGTAATGGTACTCGGTGATGAGGAGGAGCAGCCCGCACCGCGTGTATGAGGACTGGAGCTCAGCATCCCCCTTGAACCAGCCCTTCTAGAACTACAACTCCCGTGATGCTGTTCTGAGACTGGGGGATACCTTTTGTGCCAGATTAGTTACTTTACAGCAGGGGTCCTCAAACTGTGGCCCTCCAGATGTTTCTGAACTACAACTCCCATGATTCTCTGGCTATCGATGTCATTTAAAGAATCATGGGAGTTGTAGTTGAGCAACATCTGGAGGGCCACAGTTTGAGGACCCCTGCTTTAAAGGGACACTAAAGGCCCCCAGCTCGTGGCTCCAATGGGGGGGCTGGTGGAGGGGAGTTATAACAGTTAAGATATGATTTTAGGTTTCACTTATTTTAAAACATTATGACAGTGTACGCGGATCAGGACCCATGGGTCTTCACAAGCTCAGTGTGCCGGAGGTGCCGAAACATGCACCCCCTGCGATTGTCTGGCGGTCAGCAAGACCAGACGACCATTACTGATATCAATCAGTTCTAGTTTGTTTAGTTATCTTTTCTCTCTAATACTTTCCTTCATTCAATCTTTTTAATGGGGCACGGATGGGGGGGGGAGGAGAGGCGGGTGTCGTCAGCGATTCTGGGACGAGGGCCGGTGCAAGGAAATTTGTAGCGACCCACCACCAATCCAACCATGGCTCTGAAACGCACCTCCTTAAACGTGAAAGGTCTAAACCATGAGTAGTCAACCTGGTCCCTACTGCCCACTAGTGGGTGGTTTGGGATTTCAGGTGGGAGGTGGTGGGTTCTGCAAAAAACGCTCAGTAGGCCTCGATGGCCGTGGACCAAGGCTGGCAGTGGAGATCATTTAATCTCCCCTGCCAGCCCATGCAGAGGCAGCCTTGGTGAGGAAATCAAAGCACTTCGTTCCAGCAGAAGGAGGGAAGGGCCTGGCATGCTCTGTGTTCCTCACGCGAGCAGGCTGGTCGGAGCGTTGCCATACGTTACCATGTGCTGTGCTCCCAGGAGGACAGAAGAGTCAGCCTGCAGGTAGAGGAGCTGCACGCTAAAGTGAACATGCCACCACTGGACTACCAGGGTTTGCAGCATTATGTCCCCCCCCCCCTCCCTGGTAAAAGGTAAGAAGAAGGGAGGCGAAGACATTAAGATAGATTTTCACATCTCACCCACCTACACACAGCATAGACCCTATGCACCCTTCACATACACACACAGAGACAGACTGTATCCTCACACACACTGCACTCCTCACACACTACACCCCTCACACACATTGCAGTCCTCACACACAATGCACACCTCTCTCGCACACACAAACATACATACACACACACACACCGCACCTCCCAGACATAAATCAAATCGCACGCTATAGAATTTGTTACTGTGGTACTGGTGGGCGGTAAGGAAATTTTACCATCAACAAAGATACAAAAGTGGGCGGTAGGTATTGAAAGGTTGACTACCCCTGGTCTAAACGAACCTAAAAAGGGGCGCCTAATGTTCTGAGAGATAAGGAGATTGAACTCAGACATATCCTTTCTCCAGGAGACACACATTCCAAAACACGCTAATCTCCACCTAAAAGATCACACCTACAGCACAGCATATGATGTCAGATCTCCGTAAACATAACGGGGTAGCCATTCTGTTTCGCAATCAATGTCCGATTAAGATCACAGGTTCCGATCTAGACCCAGAGGGTAGATACATTTTCTTAACATGGTCTCTATATTCCCATACCATCAACCTGATAAGCATTTATGTCCCAAATGAACCTGTGGCAGACATCTTAGCGGCAAAAATAGATGCACTCCCTCATGGTATGCTAATAATGAACAGGAATTTTAACCGATTTTGACTAAAGTTATACATGCAGATGAGGTAGGATTTATCCCAGGAAGACAACTCTTCGAGAACACCCGATGAAACAGACATCATTTGGTGACAAGCCTCCTCAAACACACCCACCATGGTGGTTTCCATAGAGTGAAATTACCCTATCTTTTTAACTTACTTAGGATTCCCAGTTTCATACATAACTTACATCAGAGCAATGTATACTAACATCACAGCCCAGGTAAAAATTCTAGGTGCCCTACCACGTCCATTTGGGCTTAGTAATGGGATAAGGCAGGGATGCCTGCCGCCCCCCCCTACTATTCGTTATATCACTAGAGCCCCTATTGCAGGCTTTCCAAAAACATCCACAAATACAGGGAGTTAAAGGGCAGGAGTTTCTGGTATCCGCAAACGCGGATTAAGTACTTTTGACCCTAACCAACCCTGATGAGTCCATGAAGGTGGTGAGGGGCGTGCTCACTCGATATGGAGTAATATCGGGGTACAAAGCGAACATGGAGAAATCCAGTACACTACCGATAGGGCTGTCTGCCGCGGACACGGCATCCATTCATAAAACCCATATATTCAAATAGCTTGTAGATCCAGATCAAATTATTTGCTTTTTTATTTGTAAAGAGTATAGGGGGACCACCATATCCTTCGGACATGAATCCGGGATATTTTACGGTTTTCTCACCTGGTATGTATTTTCTTCTGAAAGTGAATTATCAAGTCCTTGTTTATATTGGGGAGAGAAAAAGGCACACATTTGTTTATCTTGTTTGCTATCCTTTTTTAGTTCTTTGGTATATTTACAGTAGCCATTTTCACTACTTAGTTCCACAGCCCCCTTTTTGTGTGTGTGTGTGTTCCTTTTTACTTCAAGTTCTCCTTTCTAATTCATATAAACTAATGTAGTTCCAAACTTAGGCTTCTGCAGTTGTCATCCTTGGGTTTTTATTTTAGCTTAGGTATAAATTTTTCATTTATCTCCATTTTTATAGTAAAGTTTGCTTTCTTTCCTTTCCTTTTTTTCCCTTTTCCTTATCCTCCTTCCCCCTCTTCCCTTTTTCTCTAAACAAGGCATATTTAGGTTTTTCACATGTATAATTAAGCAATTTTTGAACCTTTCACTTTCTCTCTGTTTATATACAGATGACGTTTGTGGATATTATATGTTTTCAAATTACATCACAAATATTTCTTCGTAGAATTCCATCACCATTTGTTTTACTCGTATGGTTTTTTTGATTATACTTGCTTTTGATGTTTTCCTTTCTTTTTACATCACAAGATGGTTTCCAGTAATGCAGCGGATTTATTTCCACTATTGCAGCTTATTTTCTCTGGATATATCTATTCTGTCCCTCTGCTTTAGAGACTTTACAGGTGGAGACCTACAACCTTCGATCTCCTGTTATCCTGCAGCAAGAGTTCCTGTTATGGACTTGTATATTTCGTCTCCTCGTTCCCCTCTGCTCGGACGCCACTACCTCGTGACTGCTTTTCGTCTGCTGGTCTGTCAGCCCCCTAAGACCCCGCCTCCTGGTGTGTGCCCGCGTCACGTCATCACGTCCATCCAATATGTTGATATATTTTAATGTTAAATGAGTGTCCCCAGCACCCCTCTGTGCTGTTTTGGCTAATGAGGAAGTATTAGCCTGAGCAGCAAAAGGCAGCTGTAATTGGTTGAGTGTGTCAGCTGACTGCTTTTAGCCTATCAGAGCTCCAACTGACGGTATGAATGGTATGACTACAAGGAAGTGTGTAATAGCTGCCCTAGCCACTCCTCCACAAGGGCTAATCTCTGCCCTAGCCACATCTCCACAAGGGCCAGACTGTGGGTGGTTAGAGACCCTTATTTGGTGTTAAACTGCTCTAAAATGCTTAAAACCAATTCAAAGAGATACCATGGTTATAGTGCCTACAGTGTTCCTTTACGTTTGTTTTTACATCACTTCTCTCCCATTTCAGCCTGCTTTTTCGCAAAGCACTGCTGTTATAAAGACATACCTAGCTTGTAATGTATTTTGAGTTAAGCAATTACAATTGGATTACATGCTGGTAAATAGGTTCTCATTTTAATGCCCTTTGGCATTATCATAATATGTGAAAACTCGTGGTTGGAATCCTAAAAATGTTTATTTTTGTTCTATTGGCTTTCTTCCTCTTGTTGTGCCGTAAGGAGTTATTCACAAAATTTAGGCTTGCCCATTCATTTTTCTTAGCTTTATCTTGTTGCATTCACTAAACGTCAATCAAGTCTAACTTTAAATAAATGCAAAATATTGACAGTTTCCTTCATTGTTAACAGTTAAAACACAGTCAAGCAAGTTTTTCCTGAATGTAAGTCCTGTCTTTTAAGAAAGAAATCTTATTTTTACAGAGCTATTGTATGTATATCCAACAACACTGATTTAATGATGTTTACTTGTTATGGCTTTAAAGCAGTGTGTTGTGTAAACTGTAATCTATATTTATACAATTGCTTTACTAGTAAAACAGAATGTTTCTCCTTCTAGCCCAATTAACCTGGAGCCAAGTACAAAGGTAATTTGGATATCGTAATACATAATTGAGAATTTTCAGAAGAAAATTACAGTGGACCACTAAACAGTCGCTTCAGGTGTTGATAAATCATCAGTATGAGACTTGATACACGTTCAGTGTCATGCTGGGTTTTACCTTGGTTATTCTCCCCTCCACCCCCCTTCATGCAGGTATTTGGGTACTTTGTTACTTTTTTTTGTTTACTTTTGTGTATATTTCTTTTTAAATTTTTGAGCACTCACTACTAGATCAATTTCTCTGTATTAAGGTCACCGAGCCTTCTCGCATTTTTTTAAATAAACCAATACTTTGAAGGATTTTATTTAAAGTGTAAGCCACTTTATTTTCCTCTGGCAATTCATGATTACGTAATTCTAGGACCAGCACCGGGAGCAAGAAGTGCATTTCTTTTATTTATTTATTTTTGTGCCACCACGCTCAAAATTCTCTTCCGCCTTCCCAGAGACATCCAAACCCTGAAGGAGACTTGCAGAGGCACGGCGCGCCTGACCTGGAACAACCTACATATCACCTATAATCGCAGAGTTACCATGGAACAGTAAAACATCTCCGAAGTCGCTCTCGGTCTCTGGATCACCAAACAGGGCACTATTTTGAGGGATAACAGAGACGGTGGTGAGGCTCTGAGCAGTACGAAGGACATGAGGGATCTCGATGTAACAACAGAAAGTGCCATGATTCCATTAGCTTTCCACCCAGCACCATGGAACTCTGCACCGGATCGGAGAATGCTTGCAGCACACTCAAAACTTTACATCCAGAGTATTCGGATAGACACCTCCCATCCAAGCTCTTTTTGCACAGAATGGGCATTCCGGGGAGAGCTATCCAGGGGTGGCACGTTTGGACATGCGAGCACAGGTACCCCGGTTTTCATGTAAAATTATTTGGCGCTGAGGTGTCTGACCACTGATAAAATTATCTGGTCGGGTACAGATACCTAGGTGCAAGGTATGTTGATATACCCATTGTTCCACTAGTGACCACCTGTTAGGGACCCAGGTATAAACATGTGCCATTCACTCAATAGAAACAGTTCTTCTACACCGTACACTAAGTTTCAGCCAGTGTTTGGGTGGGCCAGCTATAATCACTAAGGGAATAGGAGTCCTTGGTGGAAATACTCGGGTCCCCTGCAAGTAGGTTGCCACAAAGTAGGTGGTGTAACAAAGCTCTAGTACTCCTGCTGATTTACCTCCATCAAAAGTTCCCTCTAATTTTAAGGAGGCTCACAACATGGGGTCATCATTGTGGGACAATAGGTTCCTCTCCAATGCCACTGTGTCTTTGGGATAACTCAATTACTGGGAATAATTTTATTAGCAGTAACCTCAAAACATAACTTTCAAAAACAGTAGATTGACAAATGATACAAGATTACAATAAATGGTAAGCAGGGCATATGGAAACACAATGCTGTCAAACAACAGTGAAATACAACGTATACAGGGTTATTTACTAAAGTGAGAATTCAAAGTGAATTTCAAATTTGAGGCCAGAGTAGCCAAACTGAAATCATAGGTGGCTAGAGAATCTTTCATTTTTGACTAATTTGAAAACCCTTTGATTTCACCTTGAATTCTCCCTTTAGTGAATAACCCTGTCAGCATATATCTTGCGTTTAAATAACATTATCCCTTTCAGTCAGGGAAATTTATACAGATATAAACCCAACCCATGCTTTACTTGGTATGTACTATAATGCAATCACACCTTAATCATAGCCGGTATCTAGTTAAATGGCTTGCACTGCCTATTTTCTCTTGAACGTATTATATCCTGGACCTAAAAGCTTTTATTTTAGAAGGGATCTTAACGTATAGTGCAGTGGTAATGTCACCGCAGGTTCTAATCTCAGTCTTACCACATCATCTGTAAGTGTCCCTAGGCAACGATATACACCCTGCCCACCTCACTAATATCAGAGTAACACACACCGAGATAATTATGTGCACAACCTGGATTGACTGCAAAAAGGTCTATGACACAATGCACCACACATGGATACGGGAATGTTTGGCTCTATACAAGGTCAACAAGACAATAAGAGCCTTCATCAAGAACTCAATGGGCAAATGGAAAACAACTCTAGAAGCCAATTCCAGGACAATAACTCAAGTGAACATCAAATGTGGCATATACCAACTAATCCTAACAGCACAGGAACTCAGCACCAAATTAATAGAATCAGGGGTCTACCACACGTGGCAAAACTCAAGCTGCAGACTGTGCAAAAAGGCCTCTGAGACAATCCAGCACATAGTAGCATGTACAAAATGTTGGCAGAGACAGCATACACTAAAATGCACAACCAAGTTGATGGAATTGTGTACGAAATATCTGCACCTGCCTAAGTCCAAATGGGAGATACCACAAACGATAGTTGAGAATGACATGTTTTTTTCAGGACTTTCAGATCCAGACAGACAAGGAAGTACAGACCAACCAACCTGGCATTGTGGTCATATATAAGAAACAGATGGTGGTGGTGGATGTGGCAATAACAGGAAGAAGGAACATGAGAAGGTGGACAAATGCCAAGGACTGAAAGAAGATCTAGGAAGGATGTACAATGTGAAGGCAGTAGTAGTCCCCGTTGTGATAGGAGCACTTGGAGCTGTGACCCCCAAGTCAGGGGGGATTCCAGGTGAGACATCGGAGATCACTGTCCAGAAGAGTGCAGTTCTAGGAACAGCTAAGATACTGTGCAGAACCCTTAAAATTCCCAGGCTTCTGGTAGAGAAATACTCAAAAATATATACCACCTAGGAGGGATGATATATATATTTTTTAAATATATATATATATATATATATATATATAAATGTATTTACCAGATTTAATTAGAGGGGTACATCAAAGATATACTCCCACAGATAGCATACAAATACATACAAATTTTGCAATAGCTACAGATCTAGTATGGGCAGTTGCTGCAAGCCCTCCCCTCACACGCTTTCTGTGGCTGTTCAATCACAAATTTCTAAATAAACTATCATAACTCACTGCGAAGTCTTTGCAAGGCAGTAGACTTGTGAATGGTATAACATTTTGGTTCATCCAAAAGTGTGTTCGTTTTGAAAAATTATTTGGATGAACCAAAATCCGTGTTCTTCAAAAGGTATTGTATTGAAATCGTTCTAAAATGGAAAAATAAGAAGACGCACTCTTGACACAAGAAGCATAATGTTATTACTATTATTTTATTATTTATATAGCGCCAGGAAATTCTGTAGCGCTGTTCAATGGGTGGACTAACAGACATTTAATTGTAACCAGACAAATGACAGGAACAGAGGGGTTGAGGGCCCTGCTCAATGAGCTTACATGCTAGAGGGAGTGAGGTATAGTGACACAAAGAGTATAAGTAGGGGTAATGAAATAGGTTGCTAGAAAAGTATTCACTGAGAACTTTGTAGGTTATTTTTGACGGTGGCAGGAGAGGAGTCATAAGGTGGAGGGTGGGGAGGGAGAAACCCGCTAACAGTTTAAATGATATGCTTTCCTGAAGAAGTGTGTTTTCAAAAGATTTCTTTGAAGGAGTGGAGACTGGGTGAAAGTCTAACGGAGAAGGGAAGAGAATTCCACAGAAAAGGTGCAGCCCTGGAGAAGTCTTGGAGGCGAGCATCAGATGTGGGAGTACGGACAGAGGATAGACGTAGGTCGTTGCAGGGCCTCAAATAGACATATTTGTGTATTGGGGATAGGTAGGTTGGAGCAGCATTATGTAGGGACTTGTAAGCAAGTACCAGAATCTTAAATTGAGCCCTATATCTTACTGGAAGCCAATGTAGGGACTGACAGAGCTGGGAGGTGCGGGCGGACAGGAAAATGAGCCTTGCTGCTGCATTCATTATAGATTGCAGTGGTGCAATCTGGGAACACATAAGACCACTGAGAAGGGGATTGCAGTAGTCTTCTTTTATGAATCAGAACCTAAACAGTGAACCTGTAAACTATTATCAGTTGCTATATCAATTCCATCCATATCAAAACCCTCTGCTATATGTGAGTGTTTCTCCTCATGTGGCAGGAGGAAGCAGGGGGAAACAAAGAGACACTAAACAGTGCACTGTGGCAAATTTTAAATATAATCACTTTTTTTTTTTTTTTTTTAAAGGCTTTAGCTTAACTCATTAAAAATGTGACTTTTACCATATTGTTTAGGAGACAGAAAACTCAAAATATGTACCTTCTTACATAAAACATTAAGTGAGTTATATTTATATAAAACAATGTGTAAGAAAAGCAGGATTGCATAGGAAATAACTTGAATTTCCTGGTGCGATTTGCATCACCTCTCACATTTTAGTTTCAGAGCTCAGGATACCAGGGGGAAGTGTCTGACTCAACAAAAGTTCATTTTATTTCCTGGACTTTTTTTTTCGGAGGCATGCTGGGGGGGGGGTCGTTTTTGAAGAAACTATCTGTGATATAAGCACATTTACAACCCTTGTAACGGTTATAAATTAGCATAATCAGCTACACAGGAACCTGGACCCCCAAAATGATAAGGTAGTAAAAAATATAAATGGCTGTACAAAATATTTTATTACAAAAGAATATTAAAATAAAAAATGGAAGGGACCTGTGGCAAAACAGGGATGGGGGGTGTAGGATGCAAGAGACAGATTTAATTGCGGAGTTTGTAACTGTGTATGCCTGTAACTGTGTATGTGACTATATTTGTGAACATTTGACTGTAATTATGTGTAGTGTCTGACTGTGTGTGCCTGTAAATATGTATAACTGTGTGCCATTGACTGTGTGCAGTATGTCTGTATGTGTCTGACTTTGTGCACACGACTACTGTGTGACTGTAAAATACTTACCTATAATTCAAAAAGACATAATAATTTGAACTCCAAATATAGTTATGTATGCAGGGCAGCCATCAGAAATTGTAGGGCCACTTACACAGCTCAAGTGTGTGTTTGTGTCGTGAATGCAGTATGTGTAGTTAATGCAGTGTGTGTTTGTGTAGTTGATGTGTCTGTGTTGGACAAGGGCTATGGGGTAGGGTTATTTTTATGATAACATTTATTCCCCCCTCCTTGCCTCTTACCTGGGGCCAGGGAGGGACACTAGATTCCCTCGTGGTCCAGTGGCTCAGCTGGTTGTACAGCAAAGAGGGGGCACAGCAATCTCCATCTTCTCCCTCCATCAGCCAATCCTCTCCTCCTGTCCTGAGCCTGGCATGTATTTTGTTCCACTCCATGTTTTACCGCTGCGGCTCGTGAGAGGACACTGCAGGAGGGTGAGTTT